CAATGATTGTTAAAACGAGTTTTCTAGGCGAGTGTGTACTTTATCGCACTCGACCTAAATAAATATGAAATTTTCAATGATTAATGATTAAATGCTACTTGCGCATGAATGTAAGCCTTTTGGACTGAACTGGCCATTGCCCCTTGTTACCGGTCGTCTCGAGCCAGAAGCGGACTCGGTCGGGCGACTAGGAACTTGGGTGAACGTTTCGGTATACTCGAGTATTACCTTGTAGGTTGGTGGAGCCTGGCCAAAAGCCAGGGACGGGGTGAATGAATGCACGAATGAAACCAAAAATGCAATGAAATGGCAGGAGAACGAACGTATCCTTCTCATGAATGTTACTATCGCTTTTCATTGTACATGTTTCTTGAATTATTGATACTCCATATTTAATGTTTTGTAAATGTTGAAATTGTTTCTGGACTTATCATTTGATTTGAATTGAACATCATTGAAATGAACTATAGTTAAACCGATTTGATTACTGATTTTACTGGTTACTCGCTGAGCTTCTAGCTCACCCCAAAAATGTTTTATTCCCCTCCACAGGGCTCAAGGCGAAGGAAGGGCTTGTAGCGTTTATTCATGGATTATCTCATGTATGGATTGAACTTGGATTTTCTTTTGTGTAATCATTCATATTGGGATTGTATTGAACGGTTTGAACGTTTAGAATTGATTGGATGTGTAATAGTCTAGTTTTGAGATTTTATCTTGTATTTGTTTGAGGACTGTAGTGATCGACTGAGTCCCGGCGAGAGCCGGGCAGGCGGCCCGCCGAACCCTCTGGTTCGCCTTAGGGGGAGGTGGGGCCGTGACATGAATCATGTTTTAGCTCTTTCATTGGTAAATTTGTGGTCGTTTACTTTGATGACATTTTGATCTATAGTAAGACTCTAGATGAGCATGTTGTGCATTTACAAATGGTCCTCGATGCACTTCGCAAGGCAAGCCTCTACGCTAAAGAACTTTATGCAACTGACTCAGATTTTGGTGAGATTTTTTCCTCCTTGCCACGACACTCTCATGAGCATTATTTCATCTCTCAAGGGTTTTTATACTACAAGGACAGGCTTTGCATTCCCAAGAGCTCCATGCGCACACTCCTAGTAAGAGAATCTCATGGAGAAGGGCTAATGGGACAATTCGGCATTGCCAAGACCTTAATGATTCTCCAAGAACATTTCTTCTGGCCACGCATGAGGAGTGACGTGGAACGACACATTGAAAGGTGCGTGACTTGTCACCAGGCAAAATCAAAGGTACACCCTTATGGTCTCTATACACCTTTGCCAATTCCACAGGAACCATGGGTTGATCTGTCAATGGATTTTGTGCTTGGACTACCTAGGACTAGAAAAGGACATGATTCAATCTATGTGGTAGTTGACCACTTCTCCAAAATGGCCCATTTTATTCCTTGTCTTAAAACAGATGATGCTAAGCATGTTGCAGATTTATTCTTTCGTGAGATAGTTAGATTACATGGCATGCCACGCACTATTGTTTCTGATAGGGACGCCAAATTCCTTAGCTATTTTTGGAAAACTTTGTGGTGTAAACTAGGTACTAAATTGCTATTTTCTACTTCTAGCCACCCACAAACTGATGGTCAAACCGATGTGGTTAATAGGACTTTATCTACCCTATTGCGCGCAATTATTAAAAAGAACATTAAATCTTGGGAAGATTGCTTACCACATGTGGAATTTGAATACAATCGCACTGTTCATTCTGCTACACGTTATTCGCCGTTTGAAATTGTGTATGGTTTTAACCCTCTCACACCTTTGGATTTAACTCCTTTACCTGTTCATGAGAGAGTTAACTTGGATGGTAAGACCAAGGCTGCATATGTACGTGAGTTACACACTAAGGTGTGAGCCAACATCGAGAAGCGTACACTTCAATACATCCAAAGTGCCAACAAGGGGCGCCACAAGATGGTCTTTGAGCCTGGCGATTGGGTATGGATACACATGCGCAAAGAGAGGTTCCCAGTCAAACGGCGTAGTAAGCTACTTCCACGGGGAGATGGTCCATTCCAAGTCATGGAGCGTATAAATGACAATGCCTACAAACTTGAACTTCCAGGTGAGTATGGGGTACATGCTACTTTTAATGTATCTGACTTGAGTCCTTTTCATGCAGACGATGAGTTTGATTTGGGGACAAATCGCCTTCAAGAGGAGGGGACTAATGAGGAGGGGCTCAAGGCTGCTCAAACTTCTAGTGCTCAGGTCATGCAAATACCCAGTGGTCCAATTACAAGAGCGCGTGCTAGGAGAATTCAAGAATCACTTCAAGCTCTTGTTTGCACGATTCAAGAACGAGTTGGTGATGACTTGAGGACCATTGAAGGATTACATAATGGAGAAACTACTCTATACACTTTCCTTCAAATGGAAGAACCAAGTGAAGACTAGTTCACGGAGCACTAGCTTGCTAATTAGGGTTTTAGTTACCATTATTAGTTGTTTGTTAGCATTAATAACTTCGGTCAAATTTTCACTTCACTTTGGCCGAATTCAGAGTCTTAATTTTAGTCAATTAGTTGTTAGATATTTTCACCCTTAATGAAGGGCAAGGTCGTCCATTGGACATTCTAGGGTTTGAGTCCTGTAAGGCTATATATAGCCTAGGTTTTCATTCATTAAAGAATAATTCAGATTTTATAAAATATATGTGAGTTTTTTTCACTCTCTCTTGCCTCAAGAGAATTCCCTTTGAATACTTGAGAATTAATCTCAAGCAGTTCATTGAACTTATCAATCAAGTAGTCTCCTTGATTGTGGCGTTCTTCTAACTATACTTTTGGTTCACTAAATTTGCTAGTCTTGGGTTAAGGAGTCTCCTTAGTTCGTGGCTTGTGATTCTAGAAGGGTCAAGGTTCCGCAATCAACCCAACTTGGTGTTCGTCTAGATCCGTCGCACATCAAGTTCAGTACATATCAAGGTGAACAAACGCAACCAACTTAGTGTACTTGTCAAAACTGTCCGCTGATTTTACTCCTAGGGCAGTCAGGGTATTTTTGTCTTTTCACTGGCTACGTTGCTCCGATTGAGCTAAAATTTTGTAGGTAACCATAAAATGTCATTCTATACAACGTTTTTGTTTTGTGCTAAGCCTAGTTCGGCCTCTAACATGATGAAATAGAACCAGACAAAACTGAAGCTAAGATTTCCAGAAATCTGGAATTTTGCTATATTCAAGCTATACTTCTCATTTTTATCTTGAAACTACCACTACTATCTCCTTTACAAGATTATATACCACATATATACATCATATAACACTTAACCCACAAGAAACCCTAACTCAAATATCATCCATCCAATCATCAAAACCACCTGAAACAAGCATCACAAGTACAATACTAACATTAATACCCAACTAAATCATGATTAATGGAGAAAGAAAGGTTGGTCAGCCATTATAACTCAAGGCAAGAGTTTGCTAGGATGATCATTCACCTCACCTTAAGATTTTTGGTTCCGTAGCTTCCCAAGCTTCCAAACTAGGGATTGATCGGTTTAGTTTTTCTTGTTTGCACTAAAAAGATTAGATTCAAAGTAGAAGATTGGAAACTCTCTTCCCTCTCTTGCTCCTTCTTGCTCTCAGACAAAAACAGAAAGAAATGAGGGAAAATGGGCTGAAATAAGGGATAAGAAGGTGAGATAAAAGGTTGGCCAAGGATCCATAGATGGTTGACACTTGTCACCACCAAAGCCATCCAAGTTTTGCTTTCTTTTTCCTTGCATTTTGGCCACAATTTTCGGCTATATGGCTGAGGATGAGGGGGGATATTTTGCAAAAATATCAAGGGTATGTGGTGGTAAGGAAGTGGTGGTCAAGTGGTGGGTTCAATCGGTAGTGATTGATACCCGTCGGTTCGAGCCATTTTTTCTTAAATCACGTATACTAGGGTTTTAACCTCTAGTCACCAACTTATTATTATCACTTCAAATCATATAATATTTCCTCATCCAAAAGTCACTCTTACCTACCAAATTTGATCCTCACTCCGTACCGAATAGTTATACTACGGAAAAACGTGAAAACCCTAATTCGCTCTAACTTGAAAACGGATAACGAAACCCTTACTTCTATATTCATTTACACTTATTGTAGGGTGATTGGGTAGTAGGGCCATAATAAATGAATAATTTCCAAATAAAAGGGTATTTTAAAGAAAAATATAAGGAATTTGCAAGTCCCCACACTCTCTCCCCCTTAAAAGAATTTCGACCTCGAAATTCATACCTTTCGTTGTGAACAGGTCGGGATATTTCTCTTGCATGTCTTTTTCTAGCTCCCAGGTTGCTTCTTCCACTTCATGATGCTTCTATAGAACCTTTACTAATGGAATCTGCTTGTTTCTCAGGTCCATCACCTTCCGATCCAATATTTGAATGGGTCGTTCTTCATAGGTTAAAGACTCGTCGAGTTCAATATCTTCTGGTGGCAAAATGTGAGTCGGATCCGAATGATATTTCTTAAGCAAAGAAACATGGAAAATGCCATGGATCCGAGACAAACTAGCTGGTAACTCAAGTCGATAAGCCACCTTTCCTATTCGCTGGAGTATATTGAAAGGTCCTATGTATCGTGGTTGCAACTTTTTTCAAAATCCACAATACAGGCTCTCAGCATATCCTCAAGAGTTTGAATGCTTCTCTCAGATTGTCCATCAGTTTGTGGGTGATACGTTGTACTATAGTTCAACTTAGTTCCTAGAGCCTCTTGCAATTTCTGTCAGAATCGAGATACAAACCTAGGGTCTCTATCGGATACAATGCTCACTGGTACCCTATGTAGCCTCACCACTTCATCCATATAAAGTTTAGCAAGTTTTTCTAGAGAATATTTCATATTTACTGGCAGGAAATGTGCGGTCTTAGTTAATCGGTCCACTATTACCCAAATCGCATCATGCCCCTTTTGTGTTCGTGGCAACCCTGATACAAAATCCATCGTTATGTGCTCCCATTTCCATTCAGGGATCTCTAAAGGCTGTAACAGACCTGACGGTTTTTTATGCTCAGCTTTCACCTGTTGGCACGTAAGACACTTTTGCACAAATTGGACAATCTCCGTCTTCATATTATCCTACCAATACAGACTTTTGAGATCTTGGTACATCTTATTATTCCCTGGGTGCACCGTATACCTAGAGCGGTGAGATTCTTCCAAAATCTCCCTCTTTAACTCCTCATCCCTAGGTACAACGACACGATTTCGAAACTTTAAGGTTCCATCAGGACCTAGGTTAAAGTAAGGCAACTCTCCTTTCTTCACTTTTTCCACCCACTTTTGCACCATTGGATCCTTCACTTGGCCCTCTTTAATTCGATCCAACAGTGTTGACTTCACCTCAATATTTCCAAAAATCACCTTCTTCGGTTCCAGACGAGGTTTCCACTCACATACATCTTCTAACAAGCTCCACTCTCTCACCATGGAACTTGCTAGTTGAGCCTTTCGACTTAAAGCATCTGCTACAACATTGACCTTTCCGGGATGATAGTTAATCATGCAATCATAATCTTCTAAGAACTTCACCCAACGACGTTGTCATAGATTTAACTCCTTCTGAGAAAACAGATACTTAAAGCTCTTGTGATCCGTATATACCTCAAAAGTCACTTCATATAGATAATGTCGCCATTTTTTCAAGGCAAACACAACAGCTGCAAGCTCCAAGTCATGGGTTGGATAGTTTTGCTCATGAGGTTTTAACTTCCTAGATGCATAGGCAATCACATTCCTATTTTGCATCAACACGCACCCTAGCCCCTCTCTCGAAGCATCGGTGTAAACCGTGTAACTATCGTTCCCATTGGGCAAAGCTAATACTGGAGCCATGGTCAATTGCTTCTTAAGCTCTTGGAAATTACTCTCACACTTAACATCCCAAATGTACATTCCTTGTTTCTTTGTCAAGTTAGTCAAGGGTCCCGCAATTCTCGAGAAGTTCTTTATAAATCGGCGGTAGAACCCTGCTAATACTAGAAAACTTCGCCCCTCTGTGGGATTTTTTGGCCGTTTCCATTTGGCTACAGCTTCCAATTTTGCTGGGTCTACAGCAAGCCAATCCTTTGAAATTATATAACCTAGGAACGCCACTTTTTCCAGTCAGAATTCACACTTGCTGAACTTAGCGAACAATTGGTGCTCCCTTAGGGTTTGCAACACTATTCGCAAGTGCTGTTCATGCTCCTCCCTTGATTTCGAATATACTTGGATATCATCAATAAACACCACTACAAACCTGTCCAAGTAAGGTTTAAACACTCGATGCATTAAATCCATGAATACCGCTGGGGCATTGGTTAAGCCAAAAGGCATTACCGCAAACTTAAAATGCCCATATCGAGTGTTAAATGCCGTTTTTGGCACATCCTCCTTTCTAATTCTCAATTGATAGTACCCCTGTCAAAGATCCAACTTAGAAAACACCACCGCCCCTTGTAATTGATCAAACAACTTATCGATGTGGGGCAAAGGGTATTTATTCTTAATAGTTACTGCATTCAACCCTCGATAATCAATGCATAACCTTAAACTCCCGTCCTTCTTTTTAACAAATAGCACTGGAGCTCCCCATGGTGACTCGCTCTCTTGTATGAATCCCCATTCTAGCAAGTCTTGCAATTGCACCTTTAACTCCTTAAGCTCAGCATGTGCTATTCGATAAGGGATTTTCGAAATGGGAGTAGTTCCGGGTACTAGATCAACCTTAAATTCAATCTCCCTTTCGGGTGGCAGTGACCCCAACTCCTCCGGAAATACGTCCGGATATTGACTGATTATCGGCATGTCTTCCAACTTAATCTTTTCTCCCGGAGCGTTAACTAGAAAAGCTAAATAACCGCGTGCCCCACGACTAAGCAATTTCCTAACCCTTATTCCCGAAATGAGCGCAGATGAGGCTAACATACCCCTTACGTCTAACTTTAAAGTTGCCTCGCCGGGTATGCAAAACTCTTCCACCTTCATCCTACAATCTACCCGAGCATGGTAATGAGCTAGCCAATCCATACCTAGAATAACATCGTACCCCTTAATGGCTAGACTAATGAGGGCGACTACCAATTTCCGCTCACCAACCCAAATATCACAATTTCTGTACACCTCATTCGCAAGTAAAGTTTGGTTCCCCGCAGGTGTTCTTACTTCTAAGTCATAAGGTAGCCTTTCAACTTTCATGTCAATTCCAAGCATAAATGTAGGGTTAACAAAAGAATGAGTGGCACTGGGGTCTATCAAAATTTTGGCTAACCGGTGAAAAACAGGGATCATACCTTCCACTACCTCTGTTGGTTCAGGCACCGATTGTTGGTCCAACGAATACGCTCTGGCCGGAACCCTCGATGTAGGGTTACTACCTCCGTTGGTTCAGGCACCAATTGTTGCTCCTCCAAAACCGAGGCCTCCAGCTCTCGGATTCGGGCTCTCTGAACTCGGTGAGTAGCCTGGAGACGCTCTATCTCTGACTGGCTACTACGATTAGCGCTACCCAATCGTCTCCGCTCATCGTCCACCGTGAGCACTACCCTGTCGGGGTAGGAGTAGGTCTTCCAGCAGTCGCAACGCCGGATCTTGCGCGCTGGGGATCACCGCTGCACTGGCCCACCGGGGCTCTCCTGGTACATGATCACGTGACAGACGGGCCCCTCTAGATATGGCTCGTCAGTAGGAACGGCAGTAGGTATATCAGTAGGTATGGGCTGAGACGGCCAGTACCACCAGAAGCGTCAGTACCCGCCATCACCTAGGTTTGCAAGTAACATTGCAAAAGTAAGTACATGAGACGTAGAAAACAAGGCTAAAGGCTAAGCTCAAGAATAAAACCCTAGTCTATCGTATCAAGCGCTCAATCTATCCGGATCAATTCACCCCTAGGCTCTGATACCACCTGTGACGACCCCACCTCCCCCTAAGGCGTACCAAAGGGTTCTGCGGACCGCCTGCCCAGCTGTAGGCACCAAATTTTTAACTTATTTATTTTATTGTGGTTTTTAGTAATAACTATTATCTATTTTATTTATTAATCTCATAATTTTTGTTTTAAGGCACCTTTTAGCATTTTTATAGCATTTTAGATTGTTATTATTTTTATTTTATTTTTATATTCATTTTTGATCATTTAGTCGTTCAATTATATTTTAAGGTTTTTTAGTGTTAAGAGTTGCCGAAAAATGGTCACAAAAATATGCCTTATCTCTGTTAGATTTTGTTTTATGCAAGTTTATTGTTTATTTAACTAAAAAAAAAAAGAGAAAAGAGTGAGAGAGAAAACCAAGCTCATGCGCCCGGAGCTGCACAGGATCCTGGCCCTTTATCGGTATCACATTTCAAGCAGAAATCATGCACGGAAGGACATCCCATTTTTCATTGATTTTTGTTGCTCCGTTGGATCAGGCCAGTACATGATCACCTGGCTTTGATTCAACAACATAAAAGGTACAAAAATCAAATGCCATCTGATGGTCTTGATAGGAAGAGCCAAAATGCAGCTCCAAATCTCACCCCTTGGTCTTAGGTTACGGGGGGATTTCGGATGTCTATATAAAGGAGAGATATGAGAGGGTTTAAGGGGGCTCGGTTGGCGGCTGTGGGTAGAAAAAGAGAAAAAAACGCTGGAGGCTACGGAGGGACTGGAGGAGAAAGGGGGAAGAACTGAGGGTTTCAGAAAACAACTAAAGAAAGATGGACTGAGTGAGAGCTTCAAAGGCTACCGGGGGGGAGGAGAGGAAGACGACGGAAAAAAAAAGCAGAGCGAGCTACGGTTTTTGGGAACGGCTGGGCTAGATGAGAAGAAGCAGAGAAAAAGAAAATAGCAGCGGAGGGAAACCGAGGGTTTTATGGGCAAGGAACCGAGAGCAAGAATAGGGAGTGCCTGGCTGAAAACAAAGTGAAAAGAAAGAGGGCATCGTTGAAGGCATCGATAGAGAACAGCGAAGGGAGAACGGAAGAGTAGCAGAATCGGAAAGAGAGAGAATTTTGGATTGAGCAGCGACCCCTTTCTGATCATCCCAGCCTTGGTTTTGCCTTTGGAAGGGATAAAGGTGAAGTCTTTTACCCTTTTTTTTGTTCTTAGTTTACTGGATGGATGTACTGAGTTTTCCTTTTCATGCCTATTTCTGTGTGAATCTGGTGGGTTGGACTGGAATTTTGGGGGTAGGGATTTAGATCATTTAGGAGGTTGGGTTCGAATCATTTTTGTCCAAGTTTCACGGTTACAAAGAGGTTTCACAGTTTCAACGAAAGTTTCAATGCCATGTCGATTGCTAGCTACTACGTATGTTGCTTGTTTGTGTCGGCTTCGTAGCTGTGATATGCGTATTTGTTGTTTTGGATTTGATTTGCACCATGATTAATGCTCAAGAATGAAACCCAGAAGTGAAAATGAACCTCAAGTTAACAGTAGAAAGTTGCAGCAGCGTACCAAAGTTCTGTTTTCCCTTTGCTGGTTTCAGTTTTGAAGCTTATGATCTCCTTGGTCTTCGGCTAGTGCGTCATGAACATGTTTGCCGCGAGTTTATATTTTTCTCTGCTGTGATTTTTCATTCCATTGCATCATGGAGCTTCTGATTTTTGTAGTGCCTTCTTGATGCATGTCATTTCCTGCGCTTCCTGTTGCATTTCTTCCTTCTCTGCCGGTTTTGGCCAACTCAAATGCTCTGCTACAATTCTGCAATAAGAGTTCGTGTCTCATTTAGTTGGTAGTTGATAGGTGAAGTCTTGGTTTTTGGTGAACGTATTTGCATGGATAGAGAGTCGCGGCTGGAAAATTGCAGCAAGCCTGGAAACAAAAATGCAGCAAACTTCTCTTTTGATTGCAGAATGCTATTTCGATGCTGGAATGATTTTTTTTTTTGTTTGTCTGAGTTTTCTGATGTTCAAACATAATGAACTTGCGTCATTGCATGGTCTCTTGTTGGGTTGAGTTTTGTAGGATTGGTTGATGAATCTACATGTTCATTGGAATTCATGAAATGTTTTCATGTGCATGCTATTTACAGCAAAAAGAAACCAGCAGAATGCATGAGTTTCTTCATGAGTTAGCATGGTTTCCTTATATGATTTTTGCTTGCTTGGATTATGGTAGTTGTGCAGTTGTTAGTTAGTTCAAAGCTTGGAGGATTGATTAAAAAATTTTCTAACCTATTCTTGGTTGCCGAAGCGTCATAGCCTAGGAAGTAGTTGCAGAAGTTCTTTTTCCTTTCCTTCGTTACTTGCATTTTCCTTGTTCAAAAATTCTGTTTACCAAAAACTAGGTGGGCTGGTTGATGTTTTGTTAATCATGTTAGAGGATTAGAATGTTTGTGTTATAGAAATCATAAAGAAAGTTGCAGATGGCCGAACAAGCAGGTTACTGAATCAATTTTGAGTGAAAGGGTTTCAAGAATTTGCATGATTTCTTTTCTAAGTTTTCTTGTTTGTTTGGATATCGAAGTTACGGGTTGTATTACTTACTTTGAAGCTTGGATGTTGAAGCCTTGTTTAAGTTTTTTTGGTTGCCAATAAGCTGCGAAAATTGTAGAAATAGAAGTCAGCTATGAGGAAGTAAAATGCTTTGTAAGCTTTGCAGCAAAGGATAATGAAGTTTCCGAATCTTTGTCTGCATTTCCAGATTTTGCATAACTTCATGATTAAGTTACTGGCTTGTTGAATTTTGTATTTGCTTTGGGTTTAATGTCGAGGCTTTGTTTGATCGGCTGAGATGTTAGCTGCATTAGGATTTCACTTGAGAAACTCAGTATATTGTAGAAACAAAGAAAGCTTGGTTCGGTGGTTTGCATGAAGTATTTGCATGTTCTTGCATGAAAATCTTTCAATAATTGCACTTTGACCCCTTGGCTTCTAACTAATGCTGCTATGACCCAACATTTGCATGTTCTATGATCCAATCAATTGAATAATTTCCTCAATTTGGTCCTTGGTAGTTTTAATTTTACAACTTCATTGCTTGTTTGCTTCAATTAACTACTATGCTTTGTTTCAATTGCACTTAATTCATGATTTTAGGGGCTTTATGATCAAGTGAGTTTTGTATTTGCACATTTCTTTTAATTTTTCTCAATTAAAGTGATGCCTTGACCTTTTCTTTGTTTTTGGAGGGTAAATAAGTAATTTCACTCCATTAGGGCCCCAACTCAAGGGAGGTACACTCTATCCCTTATTTTACTTTATTTGACCCTATGTGTACTTATGTGATTTATGTGTTTAATTGCATGCCTTTTGAATGTTTTCATTTTATTTATTTATTCGCTTTAGTCGTCTTAATTTCGTATATTTATTTTAGCTTCATTTTGGTTATTTAAAAGGCATTTAAATGCCAAGTTGTAATAGTTAGGTTTATTTTATTTTATTTATTTATTCATCCCCCATTAGATTGTAGTAGGGCATCCCCCTAATGTAATAGATAGGTTTTGTTTGCTTTCTTTGCTTACTGTGATTTGCATGCTTATGTGTTATGTGTTACCGATTTCTTAGGACCTTGCATCTAGATATCATGCTTATTTGTTATGTGTCTATGTGATATTATGTGTTTACATGCTTTTATTATATTTCACATGATTAGTTAGTTATGATTAATGTGTGACGTTATCACACTAGTCCAACGCTAGTTGTGATCCATTTCACGATACTACGCTAGTCCAACGCTAGTTGTGGTTCCCTTGTCCGATTTCTCACTAGTCCAATGCTAGCGAGAAAATAGAAATAAGGGCTAGTCCAACGCTAGACCCTTAGGAGCCCTTCGAGCGTTAGATCATGATTGTGTGATAAAATCACTCCATCTCATGCATGTT